CCGCAACGACGACCGCAACCGCAATTTAAAACCATGGTTACAACACTAAGCACGCTCTCACGATTATATGGATCATGCATCTGGACTTTTCTGGAGCACTCTCGAGAACCCAAAGCATCGAAAGATAAAGAGCCTTCTTCAAAGCAATTCTAGAATATACAGAAGCATTAATTGTCGGCATGGAGCGCTTACCCAAAAGCCACACGTTTTCCGAATGCATAAAAATGGAACACCCTAAAGCCACGCGTGCCATGCACTTTCCCGCCCAAATTCCCTCCTCAAACCCCCCACACTTTTCTGTTTTACTATATATATATATATAGATATAGATATAATACGTAGTACAATTCAAGGTTACAAATAGGGAAATAATTAAACTTAATGCGTGTCAACACTACGGAGTCAATGGGTATTCAACTAATCATTAGTTCAAGGCTCTAGATATGTTGTAAAAAACGGACCGATGAGTGACCCGGAAAAATTACTGGGTCATGGGTCAACCCGGACCCGAAGGGTCAACCCGGTCAACGACTAGTAAACCCGGATAGATGGCCGGTTGACCGGTTTCCGGTTCAGACCGGTCGGGCCGGTTCGGGTCTAACAACACAGGGCTCTAGGCCTAGTTTCTATTTTTGGATTAAAACTAAATTGATTTAACTATTAATTGCGGAGAAAATTCCTAGATCTCGAAAAGATGGTGGTGCTAGGATAAAGAATCATTGTTTTTATGATCTAGGCGCCGGTGCTTGGAGTCTACTGACTACTCTCCAAAGCCTCTAAACAGTCAAATCCGGATCTGATCACAGTCAACCATTGTTGGTACTGGTTATACAGGACGAATTCAACACGACTTCCTTTCAACTGAATCCAGAAGGGTCCTTAAAAAATGATCCAGAAGGATTCTCCTACCAAACAGGGCCTTTCAACTGAATCCTGGAGGGTCCTAGATAGGGGTGGAAACAGGCCAGGCTTAGGCCTATATAATCTAAAACAAGCCCGGCCTGTTTAGGAGAAAGCCTGGGCTGGCCAGTTTGCACCCCTAGCTACAGGATCAAAAGAAGACGAATGAAGTTTGAAAACGACGATCAGGATGACCTTCTGTCAATCGTTCAATGATATCTCTTTGTAGAAATATCCAATGGACACGATTCAAGTTGCATATGAAAGCCAACTTCAAGGGCTACAAATCATATGAAGACATCATTCCGAGAATCTGAGAGTAGCAAGGTTAAAACACATGATGAAGTCAAGTGATCTCTGTTGCGATTTCACAATGTGACATTTCACCGTTTTGATAATATCTCTTGATTGGATGATTCAAATCTCATTCTGCAAGTTAGGACAGATAGAGGATTTCGTTATCTATAACTTTTGTGAAGTAAGCGTCATCAAATTTGGAAGTTAAGTAGGCACGATTGTGCCCTCAAAGTTAGGCACGATTGTGCGTGAAAAGAAAGAACCGCGGAACTACTGCCAGTCAGGAACGATCGTGTTTGGAGGGAGGCATGATCGTGCCTACCCAAAAAGCGCGTTTTTTCTCCGGAGGCACGAATTACCCCGCTTTTGTCCCAGTTCAGCCCAAACTCATCCGTTTTCTATAAATAAGGCCTCCATACCCATTTTTGATGGTTACGAACATTACGGAGAGGCATAGGGACGAATTTACATCCGTTTTTATCATTCTTTACTCCAAGAACCTGAGATTTTTTGTTAGTTCATCTTTTTAATTAATGACAATTAATTCTATTCTTCCAAATTCTATTGATTTTTCAATTATGAATTGTGAGTAGTTTAAATAGGGATTTGAGGTTGATGAAGGGATTGATTATGATGTATGGCTAGATTCTTGATGGATTAATTGCATGAATGACGTTTAATTTGTGTTTGAATAATTTAACTGATATCTTTTGTAACGAAGAACGGCCGCTAGAATTACAATTGCTTATAGAATAAATTAAGAGAGATCTAGTATATTCTATTACACATTCACACACACTTAATCGTTCGCTAAGAGATTAGTAGTGAGGGGCCGTAAGCTCGCTAGTCTTGACAATAATTTAGGATCCTGTCGCGTGAGAGATCAGCCTGGTCTCATAAATTATTGTACTCTACGCCGCGAGAGCGGTAAGAACTTAGTAATGATTAGCTAGGCTCAATTAAATTAATTTCATGAAATTCGGCCTGATCTTCCAGAAATCTGGTTACCCCAGAATCAATCCTTGTTCACAGACGAGTTCTAATTGAAAACGAAAAAAATTTCCATAATTTATAATTTCTTTTTGAAAATTTTTAAAAAAAATACAAATTAGTTTGAGTAATTTTTTGTAATCGACGTCATATATATTATGAGTAATCAAAAGCTATTATAAATGAACGGTAGTCACATGTATTCCAAATGTAATACACGTATAACATTTATTTAAACTCTTAGTTTAAGTACTTTTTCCAATGATTTTAAAAAAGGGAAATTTTGTCGTGTTCGATTAGTATCAACAAAATTTTATACATTACAACAACAACATCCAAGCCTTAGTCCCAAACGAAATGTTATACATTATTTATGTAAATTTTTGAAATGTTGTATTTGAATTGTTAGTTGGATGAGATAATTTTTTTTGGCAAAAAGAGTAAAAAAACTGCTCGGGTAATTTAACCTAACCATATTAGATCATACAGATCAGACCATATAAAACCAGAATAAACAAACTAGACAAAAAAATTCAGTCCAATTAAAAACGCTTTAACGGAGTCCTTCCTAAATACTCTCTCTCTCTCTCTCTCCTGTGTGTGTGGGCGCGCTTAGAATTCAATAAATCTCCTGATAGTATTTATGAGTAAGAGTTGGAGCAAATTAGCTTACTTTTTTTTTTTGAGTGGTTAGCTTACTTTTTTTTTTATCGTCAAACAAATTAGCTTACTATGAAGTTATATAGTCACTACACAAACAAGAGTGAGATAGATGTGTAGAATTAAGTTAGCTTATTATGGGGTGAAGCATTCATATTTTAAAATTTTCATGAGTACATTTTTATTTGTCACCAAAAACTTAGATGATGACACATGATTAATTTGGTACTCAAATGCAAAAAAAGGGAATTTGAAATTCATATAGGAAACATAAAAAGTAATTCATTGATAAAGATCTAATTGAGAAAACAAATCTTAAAAACATTTCAAAATCATGAATATGAATTTTTATTCATATCTGAGTTTATGCAATGAGTTCATTTAATTTTATAAGTCATTGAGGCCGTTTGGCAACACTGTTTTTCGGCTTATCAAGCTTATCAACCAACTTTTTCACTAAACACGTAATTTTTGCTTTCGCGCGCTAAATTGTGTAATAAGTAGAAAAAAGTAAGGTTGAAGTTACTTTTCTGGTTGTATTGGGTGAAGTTACTGTAGACGACCATTTTAGCTATTTTTACATACCATTTTTTCTTAATTTTATTAATAAAACATATTTCAAATATAATTTTTTCTTAAATCAGCAGAATCAGCCAATGAAGCCACTCTGGCCAAAACTTCATAAATTTCAGCAGAATTGGCCAAAACAGCCGATTTTCGTGCTACCAAACGGGCTCATTGTTTCAAAATAAAGGTAAACTGTGTTTAATAGCTTGAACCAACTTTTCAATAAGATTGTTAAGCTCGAAAAGAATTGTCTAGCCTATGGTATTCATTTTTCGTTTTTTAAACTGCACCCATACAACTTTAATAATATGATTAGACTTGAAAACTCAAATTTTCATAAATTATCATATGGATCACTTCGAAACTCTTTTCTTAAAGAAAAAGATCAAAAGACGATGAAAAAGAGGTCAAAAGACTAATTTGAAATTTTCTAAAGCCTAGAAGGACTAATATCCTTAAAACAAATCGACTGCACCCATTTTCAGATAAATAAATTAGAAAAATGTTTAGTTAGTTTAAAAAATAATAGTAAGTCACGGATGAAATTTAATGGATAAAAATAGACATTGAACAATTTGTTTTTGTTCAGGTAAAAATAGATTGATTCCAATTGCATGCAATTGTATGTTTTATATTTCATTTTCATTAGAAAATATAGATGAGAAACATGTTTAGATAATTAATTTAAACGTAATGCATACTCAATAAGTTAGAATATACATTTTAAATCAATATTATAATAAACTAAATAAGTGATTTTCAGTTAGTAAAATTAAACAGCAAAATCATTTTATCCCATGCAAGACACGGGTTATGATACTAGTATTCTTCGAAGTGCAGTGCACAAGTACACATACTAGTGCTACATAATATTACCTCCGTCCCAATTTAGTTTGTTATCTTTGACTTTTTCGGTCTAAGATGGTAAACTTTGACAAATTTTTTTAATTACTAGTAATATATTTATGCATAATTTAATAATTTTATACTTTTATGATGTTATTTTTAACAAAAAACATTTACATATAATTCTCATATTATCAATACTTTCTCTATGTAAACATATAATCGGTCTAAGTTAGACGCCATTGACTTGAAAAATTAAATCAAGTTTAGCTAACTAAAGTGGGACGGAGGGAGTAAATTATGGTGAGGTGTGATGTAAATTATGTCATGAGGTGTGATATGGTGAGGTGTGATGTAAAAAAAACATCGAAATAGGCACGGACTTGGCACGGATTGGACGAGTTTGGCACGGATCGTAACTTATTTTTGGCACAACGTCGTGCTAAATAGCTGGTGACAAAACGACTTTGACACGAAATTTGGCACGGATTTGACGCATCCGTGCCAAATCCATGCCAAATACCCTATGAATTTTGGCAAATCCGTGCCAAAGCTCCGTGCCAAATCCATGCCAAAATCGTTGTTTTTTTGTAGTGGTAGATTATGTTAATAAAATGTCAGCTTATAATTTTGCTGAAGTATATGCATATTATTTTTCAATAACTTACTTAACTTACTTGTTGAATTTTTAACTACTCCACAAAATTTTGTGAGACACAATCTCAAGTTTATTAATTAAGAATATTTTCACAAAAATTCATAAAACAAACCGACTTGAAAGCTTTTCAAATGGGCTTATTCGTAGTGACAAATCATTTCTCATTATATTACTCCGTAATCCGTATAATGCTACCATTAAAAAATTTTGACCACCTATAATTGGTGAGCCGTGTTCTAGATGAATGGTTAGTTCAAATTCTTAAAAAACGGCTCTCCGTCTCACAGTATAGTACAGAGTGTATTAACAAAGGGGTAATTCCCCATGTAGGAGTAAAACATAACTAAAATGCAATTATAGGAGTCTAATGTTCCGTATACCTTCATAGGAGCAAAAATACGTGGGTTGACAATTATACCCTTAATGAAGTGTCTGATTGTTTTAATAATACTCCAATATACAAGACCGAACAAGATACGGAAGTTTCAGTGGTACAGTCTAGGCTGTGACTGCCACCCTCACCCGCTCCGACTCCAGCGGCACCACCAGCCGCCACCGCATCTGACGTCGCCATCGCTGCATCTGACATCACAACTGCCATCGCCGCCTCCTTTGCCTTTTGCCGCCAACCACCGCCTGTGTTTTCTCCGCCGCCTGTGTTGTCGCCGTCACCTTTGCCGTTGCCGGCAGCCGCCACATTTGGAGAGACCACTACAAATTTCTAGCAAAAAGTTTGTCACAACTAATGACATGTTTCTTGCTTTAATTTGCCATCTTCACAAAGGAGTGCCATGTATTAACATATTCAGATCTAAAAATGGCATATTGGGAGAAAAAATCATGGCATTTAAAACATGGCATTCGTAAAGAGAAAAACATGACACTAAAAATAATATGGCATAAAAATGACCATTCGTACAGAGAAAAACATGACACAAAATAATATGGCATAAAAATGGCCATTCATACATAGAAAAACATGACACTAAAAATAATATGGCATAAAAATGTAATTAGTGGCTTAGTGCCATAAAAATGGCATGACATGCCATTCTTTTCAAAAATAATAATATGGCATTTGTTTATATGAAAAGAAAAAAGTGGCACATTTTATGAAAGTGGCATTAGTTTGCCATGTTCGGATAAAAAACATAATTTTCAAATTTAAAATGAATAGAAATAATAATATTCATGTATTAAAATAAAATTATAAAAATTAATTGAAAAAGGATGAAATCGGACCATTTCCAAACAGTCAAACACCATTATATTTGAAGCCTTGCATTTTTGAATCTCAATTTTCCAGATCTAAAACATAAACATTCAATTTAGATTCTGAAAAAGTGAAAATAAAATCATTAGTTGAAATAAAAAAATCAAAATAAGATGAAAATAGAAGACAAAAATCACCATCACTTCACGTATGAAGTTCAAAAATTTTAGATTCAAAAGTTTTTTTTGTTTAAAATCTAAAATAAATAGAATAATTAGTTAACATAAGATTAGAAAGACTAAAATGAGAAGAAAACGGAGGTGGACGAAAATGAAGGAAGAGAAGAAGGAAACGGAGTGGGGGGGGGGGGGGGGTGGGGGGCAGCCGGAGGAGGAAGAGAAGAGGAGGAGGAGGAGGAGATCGAACACAAACCTGGAGATAATGAAACAATTGATGTCCGAATCCGAATTAAAATAAGCCAAAGATGTATGGACTCTGGAGATGGAATGACTATGGTGGTTGCTGGGAGATTAGAGATAAGATGTTCCAGGGAAATCTGAAGTGAGAGGTTATAGATGACTATCAAGAGATAAGGCCTGATGGAGGAGGTTGCGTGGAGGAAAGAGGGTCAGAAATACAGGACGTAATTAATAAATGTGGAGAGGGATAAATTTGGAATTGAAGCTCTTATTTTCGGAATATCAAAAGGACGGTCCTAGTTTTTGCACTAAACTTATGTTTTGCTCCTATTTGGAGCAAATTCTCTTAATAAATTCATGACATTTTTGAATATACGATAGTATATGTTCACATTTTATCACCATCCATGATCCATCACAAGAGTAATGAGGGAAGTGAAAGTACTCCGTACTAATCCCTCTGTTTCTAAAAGAAACTCACAGTTTGACTTTTGCGGTCTCCTAGACGGGTGTTTGACCGTAATTTCCTATTAATATATACTGTACATATAAAATCTATAATAAATTGATTTTTTTTGCTCGAAGAATACTTAATTCATAAAAATAGAATTCAGCAAGGGTACAAAATAAGAAAAAAACCACAAATAACCATCCGCCCGTGGCCGAGACTGAGAGCTAACCACCTGTAAAAAAACCAATATAACTCGCTAGACCAAATTTGGACAATTTAGAGCTAATGACGGTTACCGCAGATTCTTCCTCCCCTCATCTTAATGCAAGAGTCTTACAATGAAAGAAAAAACCAAAACCATAAAGAAACAAGCATCCCAATTTAAAATAACCAAAACAGATAAATAAAAAGACACCAAAACTAGCTTTCTTCTCCACCATCACCCATGGCGGTGGCTCAGGAGGAGGCCGTACCCTTGGTACCACTTTTCTTTCGGCCAAGTCTCCTTCCTCCTCAAGCGTCTCATCCTCAACAACTAGTTCTTCCTGATCCCCAATAGCCATGTCCTTGTATGTGTTTGCAATTTCCTCCATCTTCCGTTCAAGAACTGTTAAAAGATTCAATTGGTCGCCTGCAATTAAACCAAAAAAAGAAAAACACACCTGCTTCCACCTAAACCGAAGAAGCTGTGCGAACACAAGCAAAGGCAGAGCGTTGCCTCAAAAGAACGAACCCAAAGCAGGAGCACAACTAAAATCGGAAACCCAAAGCCTTCACCAAAGAGAAGCCCTGTCCGTCTGACTTGTGCGATTCAATAACAGACCAGAGGGACAACACCGAGACTCGGCTATCCACTCTTGGTAGAACAACCTCCGGACTGGCCGGCTGATACGCCGCCGCCGGTACAAACCCAGCTAGGGATAAGTGGATAACCCTAGAGACGTCCACTTTCTCTCAAGTTTTCTTAAAAATAATCAAATTTATACTCGTAATAAATTGATATTTGAAAAATACTTTTACATATTACAATGAAGCACATTATATGATTTTTTTGGGGATAAAATATTACTTCCTCCGTTCTCTTTTTATTGCAACAGTCAACATTTCATGTTTGCCAACGCACAAGTTTGACCATTAATATCTTTCATTTCTTATTAGATAAAAATTTTAAAAATTCATATTTTGAAAATTTAGAATAAGAAGAATTTAATAATATTTTTTTAAAATTTTAATTTATAATACATTGATTAATAAAATATAGTCAAAGTAGAATATGTGAATAGTGGAAAAAGTCCAATGTTGCAATTAAAAGAGAACGGAAGTAGTATTAATTTTGAGTAATAAGCAGTCAAAGTTTAACAACTTTGACCCAAAAAGTTTGACCGTGACCGACAAGAGAATGACCGTATTGAAGACACCATAAGGGAATCTTCATAAGATCAAAATTTAAGTAATGAAACTAATTAAATATCCAAGCTGCATGTGAAAGGAGATGCATAAGGACTGATCGAGGAGATGGAGGTGATTACATCTGACTTAGAATTAGCTAGTCATCTGCAGAGCATGCATTATAAACGTGCTTCCCATCATTGCGGCCAGAGCTCCTTCGGAAGAAGCGGCGTGACAGAAGTTGATCAACGGTCGGCCTCTGATTAGGGTCCGAGGCCAGACATTCCATCACCACCTTTGTGAAGCTTTTGGAAAATGAATTGGTGCCAGTACTGCTGTCATAGCCTTTGAATGGAGAGCCGAAAGGCACCAGTTTTTGGACGTAATGCTTCAACGTCTTCTCTTTACACTGGAACCCACCCTTGGTGGGAAGTTTTTTGCTTACAAAGAATCTGTTCCACAACATAATCCAAGGTATATCGATTCGAGACATTTAGCCGTCGACCATAAGCCAATTCGAGTGCGGTGATTCCCACGAGCCAGACGTCGGACTTCTCGGTGTAAGGGCTGATTGCCGTAGTAGACTTCGGGCGCTGTAGACGAATATACGGAGGTGTACTCCTCTGTATATTCATCGTCCTCATAAAGAGCGGCCGCGTAGCCCAAGCAGATATTGGAGAAGTTGGGTTTCTCATAGATAAGCCAAGGCTTTTCCCTTTCCATACGGGTAGGGGTGCGTCTCTCCTTAGAGTGTGATTACATAGGTAAACATGAGCGGCGTTAATATCTCCGTGGAGAAAGCGCTTTTTATGCAGAAAGCCGAGGGCATTGAGAACAGACCTTAAAGCACTGAGGATGAGATCCTCCGGAAGCCCTTTGGGAAAGTCTCTCTTCATCAGGCTTCTCAGAGAACGGATGGGAAACGGCTTTATAGCCACGCAGAACTTCTGGCACTTGGGGGTCCGTGAAATGGTGCTTCACTCTCAACAGATTCGGGTGCATTTCAGCTTCTAAGCCCTGGTTTCTTCTCAAATCTTCCTTCACCCTGGATATGGATTCCGGATCGTGAACTACCTTGAGGGCATGAAAATTGCGGGAGACCTTCGTACTGTAGGACCCAGACCAGTTGATTTTGGTTTTAATGCAAGCACCTTTGTGGACCGTAATGGTATTCTTATTGCCACCGAAAGAACAGTGGCCAACTGGGGTCAATGGCCACGACGAAAGTCCTAAGAATTCGTTAAAGACCGACGAATTAGTTCATAATAATCGTATCTCTCATGCGTCTCCTCGTCCATGCTTACAGAGACCTCTGTGCATAGTTGGACAGTCCCGATCGAGTCCGGCAGAGGATTGCGATGGAAGAAGAAGGTGGAGCCCGGAGTCGCCGTCTCTCTCATCGATCTTCCCTCAAGAATACCCTAGCCTACCTGTTGTTAACTTCCTGCACTGCAGACCGAGTTAATAAATGGCGGCTACCTAGGTTTATTTTATGCCCTGAGATTTATTGTCGATTTATAATCAAAATAGTCCAACCCTAATTTGAGCTTATACTACCTTCGTCCCTAAATGTTCTTCCAAAATAAAGTGGCACGAGAATTAAGAAAGTGAGAATTGTATGGTGGAGAGTTGTGCAGAAGAGAGAGAAATGATGTGGACCACAAATTCTTTGTTAAAAAGGAAAAGTGAAGTTCATTTTGGGACGGACGAAAAGGGAAAGTTGGAAGTTCTTTTAGGGACGGAGAGAGTAACATAATTAATACTCCGTATTACGTATTAGCTATGTCCCAATGGACTTTGCACTAATTGAGAATAAGAATAGTAAAAATTATGTGTTTAAAAAGTGTGCAGAGAAAGAAATGAACAAAACCACAAAATAGTTATTTTAATGGGAAAATAGTCAAGTTTTTTGGGACAACAAAAAAAGAGAACTTGGCAAAGTCCAATGGGACGGAGGGAGTATTAATCCATTGTTTAAGGAAAATAACTCTAAATATGACCCCGAGGGAAGGGTATCAATTATTATCAATAAACAATAAAAAAAACACGTTAAAATAATTTCTAATGTGAGGTTATGCTGGGAATGAGCGACGGACCCGTCCCCCATGGAAGGGAAGCAAATCTAGGGTTTTGAAGAAGATTTATTTTACTTGTCTCGTTTGTTTTTCCAGTAATTTTTATGCCCGTTTTGTTATTTGCTTTTTCTTTATTGTTCCTGTTTGTAAGACGTTGCTTTTGGATTTAGGGATTGAGAGGAATAGGGTGACTGTTTCTGGCTGTTTGTTTCCCAATTATGGATCAGCGGATTTTATTGCTGCGGCGATTAATTCCGAATTTGATACAAATCTTCTTTTTGAGATTTAATTAATTGAATGTCCTGTTGTGTAACCTATGACTTTTCTTGTTAACTTTGGAGTGGAGAATGATTGTGAGGTAACCTCTGCCTCTATTGTCCCCAGCATAGGTGAGTATGTGACTATACATGTGTATTTCTATTATGTGGTAACTAATAAGAATGCTCTGTAGATGATAGTAGTATAAAATATAATAATGCATTAAGTCTGTATTAAAAATGTTGTGTTAAATTTATCACTTTTTCATATTTTTATCAGGTTGTTACCCAAGTCGTCCCAAAATATGTTGATAAAAGACTTAATGGACCTGGTACTTCTAGAGAAGGGATTCCTTATTAGCGTGTTAATTATGGGCTTAGCCCACTATAATTAGTTTTAATTTTATTGTATTTGTTAGTTTGGGCTAAGGGCTCTTTTGTAGATAAATACGTGTATAAATATTCTCCATAGAGGTGATTAATGAAACATGGGAATTTACCCTAACCATACATACTCGGCCTCAAATTAACTTTCCTGAATTGCTTAAGGTGTGTTACCTTGAAAAGTTGAAACAGAATTTAATGTATTATTAATATTTCAAATCCTAGCTATTTGCTACTTTTTTTTCCACCTGAATGATGCATATATATACTGGCTTAGCTTTAACTTTGAATTTCTTATCCAGCTTGATCATGTAATTGATCTTGTTTTCCCAAGAGGCAGTAATATTTAGTTCCCAAATTAAGGCTTTAACAAAAATTCTAGTTCTTGGTCATGCTAGTAATTAAATAGTAATACTTAATTGACTCTAGATTGGAGTTCTGTTATTCATGGTATTCTTTAGTTGATCTTTGCAGATGAAGTTTGTCATTTTATATGTTGATAAGTCTGCAGACTTGGATATTGCAAAGCCTGTTGTTTTGGATGCAAATATGAATAATCCTGCAGCATGCAATAATGCAGTGGTAATTGTTTTGCTATTAATCTTTTCCACCATTGCTTATAAATTTTTCCACCATTTTCTTGTACTCTAAGGATATACTAATTGGAATCTATCTTAATAACTAGTTTTGTGTCGCGCGATGCGCGATTAGGATGATGCCCAGTTCCATCCATATGCCCAAAAATTAGCATATTCTTTTGATTAGATCAATTGGTTTGTATTATTATTGCATATATAGATTTGTTTATTGTACGTCCAAGTCAAAAATTTATTATTGATCGAGTGAATATGCATTAATATGATCCTCGATAGGTACATTAAAATAATTGTCACGAAGATTCCAAGTGACTAAATCATTATTTTAATAGATTGCCCAATAAACATGTTGGCGAAGTAGAAGTCAACTGTTGTAAAACAACTGAATTTTAATGCAAATGAACAAACACCGTCCCTATTAATGGTACCATTTTCATTTAAATTGACACAAGAACATAAATTGATCAATAGCACACACAATCAATACGAAATCAAAAGGAGGGTTAGAAACTTCAAATTTCCATTCATTTAAATGTTAGCTGTTCATTTTAAGTCTTCCTTTCTCAGATTCTAGAAATTGTAATTAATTGTATTGATGACCAAATATAATCCAGCATTTTTATTACCTTTAAGGCAAGCAAAATTGTCAAAATGACAAGCAGTCCTTATACAAGAAATGGAGAATGATTTGGATAAGTTTGAAATAGGAGTAAGTTCAAACTCGGGTTATTTGGTTCATAATGTTTTACAAGTGTTGAAGAAGCAAAGCACAAAGCTTTAGTGGTAGCACAATTTTGCTTAAAAACACGGGCGTTTTCTTCAAAACACGGGAAAAGCCAACATGCAAGGCAAAAACACGGGAAAAAATATGGGATTTCTGAGAATGCGGAATTCGGAAACACATCTTCCGAATAGATTAGGGTTTAAGCGCAACTCACCACATTCGGAAACCCATGTTCCGAAACAATTTTTTTTTTTCTTTTTAATCCATTCGGAAGTTGGAGTTCCAAATCAATTTTTTTCACTTTTTTGTTATCCCATTCGGGATGATGGAGTTCCAAATGATAATTTCTATTTTTATTTTAGTGATACAACTTAAATTGATATAAAGCTATTTTTAATTAGAGAGATTTACCTAAATAGGACTAAAAGAAGGGTAGAATTGCAAAAATAGGACTACTATGTTTTATTTCACAAAAATAGGACTAAAAAGAGGTAATCTGACAAGACTACCCTTAGTTAAAAAGCGATGCACATCACCGACAAACAACAACCTCCATCGATATTGCTCCAGAGCACCGCAGCACAATGTGTCGAAGCCTGCATCATCGGCTACCAGCCCTGCACTCATCGGCGACCAGCAGGCAGGTAGATCTCTTCTTCTTCTTCTTCTTGCTTCTTCTTCTTCTTCTTCTTCTCTTCTTCTTCTCTTCTTCTTCTTCTCTTCTTCTTCTTCTTCTTCCTTCTTCTTCTTCTTCTTTCTTCTTCTTCTTCTTCTTCTTCTTCTTCTTCTTCTTCTTCTTCTTCTTCTTCTTTCTTTCTTCTTCTTCTTCTTCTTCTTCTTCTTCTTCTTCTTCTTCTTCTTCTTCTTCTTCTTCTTCTTCTTCTTCTTCTTCTTCTCTTCTTCTTCTCTTCTTCTTCTTCTTCTTCTTCTTCTTCTTCTTCTTCTTCTTCTTCTTCTTCTTCTTCTTCTTCTGCTTCTTCTGTCTTCTTCTCTCTTCTTCTTCTTCTTCTTCTCTTCTTCTTCTACAAAGTGCGCGGTAAAGGCCTGTGGTGGTTTGTGGGGACAGTACTATTGGTCTGAAGTAACTACCCCGGGGCCTGCGAGGATGGGGTGTTACAATTTCATTATCTTTTGTGATCATAGAGCCATTCCAATGAACAAGAACTGCAGTATCCGCACTAGCCATTTGTAAATAGTATAGATTAAGAAATATAAACTATGAGGTGAGAAAAAACAATTCTTTGTTGTGGTGAAGAAATAAGTACGAAGTAAGGGTTTTAATATGTGAATGGAGTGTAAAGGTATGTAGAGAATGTGGAGGAGATGAGTACACGTATCCTTTTTATTATTTGGAAATTAGTAATCCGAATGAGTGTGGATTTTTTATACGGAGTATGTCATAGCTGTATGTAGAAAATGTGGATGAATTGCAAACACGTAGCTTCATTCTTTTTTGGAAACTTATGGTTGGGATCATGGAGCATTGGAGGCTTTTATTCATTCGGATATCCAACTTCCGAATTGGAAGTGACGTTTAAAAAAAAAATCTTCTCTTATTCGGAATTGGAACTTCCGAATCAAAGTGTAAGGGCAACCTAATTCATTCGGAATTCTGTATTCCGAATCCCGTCATTTAGTACCCTAACAGGAACTCCCCTGTTTTTGCATGACTTGTTCAAAACCCCGTGTTTTTGTCATTCTCTCTAAAAACACCAGGTTGATAGGAAAGTGGGAGAGTATTCACAGATACTTATATCTAGTTTTTCAACGTAATAAACACTGACTGCTAAAGTTTAGTATAAGAGATTTAGAATGCTAGTAATTTCTTTCAAGTGAACTGTGTGTATCGCTAAACTAATGGGTCAACCCTCTATTCAAGTAGTGATAAGGTATAATCTGAAATAATATTACTATTTTCAAACTCAGAGTTCTATTGTTTAGGTCTGTTATGGACATAATAAGGCTTAAAGATACGTCAAACCTGCAGCTACATTTAAGCATATACAGATACATATATCTAGATTATTAAAGTAATAAAAATTGACTGCTAAAGTTTAGTATGTATTACTAAACTAATGGGTCAACCCTCTATTAAATTAGCGATAAGGTATCATCTGAAATAATATTACTATTTTCAAACATAGAGTTCTATTCAGGGATGGATTTAGGGGGGGGCGCGGGGGGGCGACCGCCCCCCTTGCACATTCAATTTTTTTTACCATATATGTAATATTTTCATAAAACTTTCATAATTTAATTATATTCGCCCCCCTTAGCTTTTAATTTTCAAAATTAGTATATAGTCTTACATAATGTAATACTTAATTGGAGATTTAAAAGAAGAAACATCTAAAATAATTTACATAACTTAAACAAATAAACAATAGAGTAACTCGTTATTTAAGATTTAGGATACTTATTATATAAGAATTCCTAGTTTTGTAATGTTTAATTATCTTTATTAGATAACAAGTACATGATTTTGTAAAACATATATCAAACAATATTAAA